GCGGCAGCCATCGCAGGGGTGCTCAAGCGCATGGGCCACCCGGCAGGCGGCGGCGGCGGCGGCGGCGAGGCCGCCCCGCCGCACGTGGTGGTGGCGGTGGACGGCTCCGTGTTTGCCAAGTACAGCAAGTACAGGTGGGGCCTCGTGGGTGGGTGTGGGGCAGGTGGGACTCTCGAGCTCAGCAGTGGAGTCAAGATGACTTCACGCTGCTGTCCCCTGCCGTCTGCTCTGCTGCACCCGCGACAGTGGCGCCCCTTGCCGCGGGCTGCAGGGAGCGGCTGCGGGCTGCGCTGGAGGATGTGTGCGGCAAGGCGGCCGCCGACAGCGTCGAGCTGCAGCTGGCCCAGGACGGCAGCGTGCTGGGGGCGGCGTACCTGGCGGCGGCGGCGGCGCAGTTTGATGCCCAGCGCGGCGGCAGCAGCTAGGCCTCACCTGAACTGCGCTTCGACGAGTGTTATTGTTGTTGGTTCATGTTCGCTTGTGTGGTCAGTCTGTTGCACGGCCAGGAGGAGCAGGACATGCAAGCAGGGAGGCCGAGCGCGCGGGGCACCGTGGCGGCGCCCGCCAGCTGCCAGCTGCCGCCAGCTCACGTGGGCAGTAGAGGGGAATGCCGGGCTCGCTGGTTGTGGCTGTGGCTGCTCTTCATCTGGGGGCTCGGGAGTGTGCGCCGCTTCACTCGTGTGCCACACATGCGAATTGTGCCCCAGCCGTGCCCCCGCACCTCGTTAGCAGCCCCACACGCGCTGCTGCAGCAGCTGCGCTGGCGAGCGGCATGTGCAGGCAACGTCGGCGAGCCGCTGGCTGCAGCCGCTGCGCGGCCCAGCGTGGGCTGGCGGCGCCGCCTCGGCCCGCCCCTGGCTCTCGCCTCCGGGGCAGGCGGCGCCAGCACAGGGGCACAGAGCAGCAAGGGAGTGGCAGCCAAGCGGCTGCTAGGCTTCCGGGCCCTGGACCTGTCTGATGCGCAGGCGGAGATTGGGATAGTGGAGGAGGCAAGCCGCCGCTGCCGCCGCCACGCTCCCTGCTCGCTGTTGGTCCCAGCGCCAACCCTGCCCTACCCCTCCCCTGCCCACCCACCCACCCCACCCATCCTGCTGGCACCCCCCCGCAGGTGCTGGCCATG